GGTTGTGGGAGTGGGAATGACTGGGACATTGATTACATGCCAACGTCGTGGTGTTCCGTTTTCTTGTCCTGTTCTTGATGGGTTAGAAGGATACAAGTTTCGAGGGCTGACGTCTTGTGTGGAATAGAAAGAGGTTTCAAAAGCGCCGCAGACACCTTTCCACTTGCAAGTGTAGGTTGCGTCTGGTGTGTTGGTGAATAGTCAAATGACACCATGGTAGATGTGATCAAATGAACTTGGAAGAGAATGTTGCGATGTTGTCTCTCCCAACGTCCTTCAGTTCCCGAAAAGCGCAAAACTAGTGGAAGTGCCATGAAGTGGCAGATGATTAGTGTGTCGAATGGTCTGATGAACAGCCGTAAGTGGAGCTGTTGACCTCTGACCAGACCCCTTGTAATGGGGCAAACGAAACATAAGTGAAATAGGCGTCCAACGCAGCGCACGCAGCGTCCAACCAGGCGTCCAACGGGGAAAAAATGCTGAAGAACAATGCGAAAGCGAATTGGGTGATTTGTACGAGGGCAAGGGCAAACAAATCGAAGAAGATTCAGTGAGTAAGGAGGTAAAAGTTGTGGTAAACTACGGGACAAATTGAGGCGAGCCGGATTCGAGCTGACACCTCTGAAGAGATTACGACCTTAATGTAGCGCCTTGGACCGACTCGGCCATCTCCCCACGGGCAGATTCTGAAGGGTAGAGTATCTTTTGTCATCTACTAATTTTCGACCCTTCGGTCTTTTCCCTTTGCACTGTGACCACAGTGCCACCTGGCTACTCTTTCCTAAAAAAACACATCACTCCTCCATGTCGATCCCCCCCATCCCTCATCCACACCACCACCACCACCACCTTCCTCTTCCTTATCCTCTTCTTCCTCCCCATCCTCATCCTCATCCTCTTCTTCCTCTTCCCCTTCTTGTTCGCCTCGGTGTTGCGGGATCGGCACATGTGGCGACGACGGCGATGCGTTCCATTTCGTGTCGGGAATCGGCTTGTATTTCCAATCCGGCGTTATGTTCCACGAAGCTCGCTTGCCTTCGGATTTGATGTAAAGCGGTGGTTGTTACTGGCTGAGCTATCTCGATCGAACACAGCACCTCGACCAACAGGACGGCAATCTTCTTCTGGTCGACCATCCGGCAACACCCCACGACATGCGGGTCGTTCGTGAAGTCCGTCGTCACATTCCTCATCATCATCGTCATCTTCAACACCCCCATGATCCTCTCCCTCGCCACCCTCTCCAGTACCCTCCATCCCAGCATCACCACCCTCAACACCCTCCCTACCCTCGCCGCCATCGTCGCCATCGTCATCGCCATTGCTGTTCCGGCCCTCCTCCACAGGATTCTTCTTCTTCTTCCGCGCCGCGGCTTGCTTCGCAACGTCTGCTTCTGTCACCGGTGTGCAGGTAAACAGCCGAGACCGTTTTCGGAATTCTAACCAGACAAAAGAGCACCAGCATTGAAAGCAGTTAGCAAAATGTAGCCGAACCACTCTCATGCCAATGAAGATCACTCTCTACCAACCAACCACCACCCGCCACTCGCCACTCGCTCAACGTTCATCCATCACTTGTCATAGCATAAGACAACCGAACAATATGCGGACACTATCCCAAACAAAGTCAACAAATCAACACTCGACAGAACAGAAAAAAAAGGATTGCTTACCCGTATGTGATTTCCGCTTGGGGCAGTCATTTAGGGAGCATAATACCTTTCCTTTGCTGTCTCTGCAGTGAAGTTGGAGGCCATGGTGGCCTCGGTGACGACGCGAGTCATCACAAATGGGAGTTTGCTGTATGGGTACGTGCGGGCGTTCTCTTGCTGTGTCGTAAGTGAGAACAAGAGGGCGTTTCGGACCGAAAGGATCTCTTCGAACATGCTGGGGGTATTGGTGTCTTCTGAGCCTGATTTTCCTATGAAGCAGCAAAGTGTAGAAGGTGAAAATGTGTGTGAGGATGAAACTTGAGTGCCCTCGCAGTCCCCTCCGTCCCCTCCTCCTCCGCAATTTTTGCAACTCTGGATATACCCAACACTCTCAACACCAGTGACGTCTTGAACGGGAATGAAAGAGAGTTTGGGTCATGGATCGGGAACCAAATAGAGTTTGTGTGGGAGACTATGAGGTTCGAGAAGCGCGCAGAGGTGGCAGTTCTCATATTTCAAATGTTCAAAACCAAAGAAAATATCGAAGTCTCTTGCTCCCACGTCTGAGAGCTCCACGGCGACTGCAGACAGAAGTATGTGTGCCCCAACAGCCGCACTTGCTGCGAGTAAAGGGTCTTCCCTTCCCACTCAACGAACTTGATACTTGTCCCCTTTCACCTTTGAAGCTTCGGTTTGCATATTGAAGGGATTGCGTAAATTGGACTGATTCAGGGACAACTTACGAGGTGGCCTAAAATCTCATCTGCAGGGAAGAGACCCCTATTTCTTTTCTCTTTCGCCGCATTACAATTCGATTCCCTTCGCCGTCCACACGGTTGTAGCGCGTGCTCTCCCGTTCTTTTTTCACAAGACGCTTTGACATGTGCAGGATTTCTTCCCACACCACAAACGCATACATTTTCTCCAGCGCACATTTTGGTTAAAAATGAGAACGAAAGATTGAAAACTTGTATTTCTAGTTGGGAGGACCGCGAAGAGAATGTCAAAACATTTGTTTGTTTGGATGTTTGAGTACATCTCCCCCCTCGGCCCTTGCCTCTCCCCCCTTTCCTCACTCAGATACCTCCCTCCCCTTTCCTCCCTTCCCTATTTCATCCACACCAAAATCGTTTCTGCAATCCAATCACGCAATTTCATGTCCTGTACAATGATAAAACCCCCACAAACATTATCTTTTTTCAAGTATCGTTCCCTCAAACAAACGAAGTTCTATGTCGGGCTGGGCAGGTGAAACCTGATGGGAGAAGTCTTCTTAAATACAAGCGGAACCGATCACGGGAATACACTCTCAAGTCCGCGAAAGAACCTAGAGATCTCTAGGTGCTAAGCAGGGGCTTCCAAATTCGCCAAGTGTCAGAGATCAAGCGCCGGGGTGGATGTGGTATTGATGGGAGCGGTGGCACGACTGATGGAAGATGGCAGTCATCTACGACATTTCGACTTCCTCTTCGATCCCTGTTGGTTCGAATTCCCCATAAATAGAAAACACAGTGTGATCGCGATTAGAATTCAGGAAGAAAGATGTCATCCCGCAAAGCCTGTCAACAAACTCCTCCAGCCGCCACTCGAACACCCCTTCACTCTGCTCTCTTAAATCTGTTCAGCCATCATTTCCACTTACGTCGGATGTACAGGATGTTATTGCACCGAATCAAGACCTCTCCAAGAACACCCGTAGAAGCTCCGTCAATGTATTCTTCCGTGTTAGCCAACTTCGTTAACAGCGAAGAATTTGGCACCATTAGCACTTCATTCATGTCTCAGATGATGAAGCAAAGACAAAGATCCACCTAACATATACCCCAACTCGAAAAACGAACAGGGCCCATCTGCATACCTGCAAGTTCATGTATGAATCAACTGAGACCAGGTAGCCCTTGTATTCCATGCCCCACTTCAGCTTGACCATAATGGGCTTCCCCGTGAGCTCGTTCAGGAAGGGTTTCGGGTTGACTGGTTGTAACTGCGTAAAGTGAAGTAACCAAGAGACGAAACAAAAGATGAAAGAGTTAACTCAACGATTCTTTCAAGATACTAGGTTCGCTCAGTGTGACGTTCAAGGGGAGTCTCGAGAGTATGTGCCGAGTTCGTTGACGATATTGATTGCCGGCATTCTGTTTTGAAAACTTGCAATAGACGGCGTGGAGGAGCGTGCTGACGGACGCATTCACCTACCATGGTTGCGAAGGAAGATGTGAGATGTGAACAAATCTCGGGTGATACGATGTTGCACAATGTGGCACCAAGTGTTCAATCGCCGCTTGCACTTCCAGGGTCCCTCCGTCAGTCGAAGACATCCACAGTACAGTATCCACTAAGTGACTAGACTACCAGTAAAACACTTTGATCGGTAGTCAAGTTGAGAAGCGCGCTTTCCCTCCCTGTTCGTCCGCCCTGGTGATCACAACATGACTTCAAGCACGTACCAACAACTCCAATACCAACAGCCCCACCAGCCGCAACCAAGTACCTCAAAGAGTGGTACTAAACGTCGGCGGTCGCAGATTCGAAACCACCCGCGATACGCTGTGCGCTTTTTCGGATAGCATGCTGGGCCGTATGTTCAACGGTGCGATGCTCCATCCAGATGAAGATCGTTCATCTTCATTGACAGAGATGGGGAGCTTTTTGCGACGATTCTGAATTTCTGCCGCAACAGACACTTTGTATGTAAAGAGCTTGGATCTGAAAAGAGGGCATCGACGCCGCACCGCGATCACTTTTCTTTGGTTGTTTGCGCTTGCCCTTCCCCTACTTTCTGGTTCCCTAACCCCCATCCGCTGAAAGGAATGCCCACCAACATGTGGATCCCAAGACCACGCAACATGAGCTCGAGTTTTTTGGACTGGCTCTACATGTGGACAAGCCTGCACCAGCCGATGGTGATATTGTGCACTTGAACGTCGGTGGTCGCATCTTCCAAACAACCCCCGAAACGCTCTGCACCTATGATGGTGTACTGAAGCGATTACTCGATCCCGAAGATGTTGAATATATTCCGCCGGACAAGGATGTATGTATCTTTCTGGACCGCGACCCGGATATATTCGCGCATATTCTAAACATGTGCAGGAATGAGTGTTTTGTAAGTTATGACAGAGGAGTGTTGACTGGTTGTCGGATGCACTTCTTTTTTTACGCATTTTTTTTTTTGACATTTCCAGAGTTGCCCATCGAACTTTTCCCATGTGGCGATCCGATATGTGCTGGCGTGTTTTGGGTTATCCGATTATGTGAGTGAGGACCAACTGGAGGAAAAAACGCTGACTTGGTGTATTGAGAACAGTATAGATAGTTTGGAAGTCACCCAGTTGACGACAAGTAAATTCTGAAAATATACATGCGAGGTGCATGCGAGGGAAGGTATAATCACGGCGTCTCGAGCTCTAGAGGCGTTATCCATACGAGATTTTCTCTGTCACCAAGGTCGCAGGACAACTTTGATGCAACCCTCCCTCTTGTTGTCAAAAACATCATATCCACTTACTGCATCACGAATATCCAGACGATGCGTGATGATACTCGTCAAATCATACTTCTTGCTCACGACCAGCGGCATAAGTGCAGAAGTCATAAAGTGTCTTGCTGAGCACCTCCCAATCTTGAAAGTAATGTTCTTGTCGTATCCATCTGCAGGGGTGAATCCAAATTGGGCCTCGGTATGCACACCAATGGAGGAGAGTACTCCGCCCGGTCTCAGTAGCCTGTACGCAAAATTCATGGCTTTAGAAGACCCGACCAGCTCGAGCACAACATCCGCCCCACGTCCGTCAGTCGCTTGTAGGATGGGATCGATTACTTGCTTCTCGTCGACATCTGGGGAGAGTTGAAGGCTTGCAGTGGCACCGAGCTTCGATGCCATTTGCAGGCGTTCGGGGACCATGTCGAGGGCAAACACCTTCGACGCTCCAAGCTCTTGAGCGCAGACGACACCCATGAGGCCTACGGGACCGCAACCAACGATGGCAACAACCTGCTTCTTGTGTGGATTGATCTCGCCGT